GAGATGGAGAGAGAGAGAGAGAGGGAGAGAGAGAGAGAGAAAGAGAGAGAGTGTCTGAGGGAGGAAGGAGAGAAGGGAAGAGAGATGGAAAGGAATTAAGCTGAATTATTGCCTATGCCAACTACCCACAATAAACAGAATCACTATGTATTGCAAACATGCATAATAAAAATTAAAAATAAAATTGAAAATAAATATGAAGAAACAAAACCATAAAGAAGGAAGAGGTTCTGTATTACTCAGAATAGAAGAAGAGATAGAAGCATACACTTCCCACTATGAAATGGAGATCACATAGTATTTTGCTAAAACTGCTTACTAATGGCAGTGAGTCCTAAGGAATTCTCAGCAACTGTAATCACACTTTCTTAGCGGGAGTCCCGTGGCATTTTACGTCACCGAGCGTGCTCTGGAGTATCAGCGACTCTCTTAAGAATCACACTCAGATGTACAGTATTCTCACCCAGTCATGACAAGGTCACTGGAGACGACTCTAACACAAACAAAACTGAGAATTACCTTGCTGAGTACAAATTTAGACTCCATAAGTACTTATTTTTCAGGAAGTTAATTGCTTTTAACCATACATTTCCTCCCTGCAAAGAAGGAATAATGCAAAATATTTAATAAGATTTAAATAAAATAATATAACGAAGCATGTGCTTGTGGAGCATAGAAAAGCATCAAAAGCTATATTTTCATATTTATTATTTTAACTCATTACGTCTTATGTTTAATTACCTCCTTTGAAGTATTTTATTATTTTTATTATACTTCTCATATTTATACTGTTGGGAAATTTTCCTTTGACAGTTTGGGGAGGGATTGATTAGCTGAAGAGCCCTGTATTTGTTGAATTCCTCCAACAAGGGCAGCCTTATTAATACTCAGGATATTGCCTGCTTACTTATCTGATTGGTGTTGAGGGTCATGTAAGACAACAGATGCAGTGACACTGAGAAAGTTATGGGATCTATGAAAATATGTTGCTCAAAATATGTATTGGTACCTGTCTGTGATACAAAACCATGACATGTATTTTGGGGAATTTGTGTCTGTATAAATTTGGGGGATATAAGTTGGGGGAATTTATACATATATAAAAACTTGGGGAATACATTATATGTTGTTGATCATTGTGATCTCTCTCTCCCCACTCCTTCTTCTCCAGATTAATTTTCCACCTCCAAAATTTTGCTCTTTCAATTATTTGTATTTGTGTTTCTCATACAAAAGAAATAATGTAATATTTAACATTTTGTGTCTGATTTGTTTCCCTTAGCATTATGGTCACGAGATTCATTTATTATCCTACAAATGAGTGAGATTTACCCTTCTTGTGACTGAAAAGTTTTCCACTGTGAGCACGCACCACTTTTTTATCCATTTGTGTGTTCACTGGAACATAGATCTCTTCTATAATTTAGCTGTGATAAACTGTGCTGTTATAAACATGGGTAGGCATGTACCATGGTGATGTGATGTCATTAACTCTCTTGGGGAAATACCTAGAATTGGTATAGCAGGGTTCAGCGGAATGAAAAAGAAAAGAAAATGCGATGTTTTGTTACTGCTTATGACACTGAATAGCTGGCTTCATGGAAACCAGTTTGAACAGGTGCGTCTATGCATGGCAGTGTCAGGAGGCTTGGGGTGATCTCCTCTCCACTTTTATGTCCACTGTGTTCAGTGGGTGTGGACAAGGATCTTAGGTGATGCCTCCCATGTTTTACTTTCAGGCAGTAGCTAATAACGTTTTTTGTCCTCTGTCAGGTGTGAGTTGTGTAATCCTTTGTCTGAAATGCTGAGTAATATTTGGGTGGCTAGATTAGTCCAGTTCATTGTCCAACAGCCTGAAGACCTTGAACAAGTGGAGTGCTTGGGAGCAAGTGCAGCCCATGCCGCTGAGTGGCACCAATATCTAGATGCTCCCTTGGTATATCTAGAGCCTGCATTCTGAGTTTTTTTTTTTTTTGGTAGTGGGGATCAAACTTGGGTCCTTGCACTTTCAGGACAGGCAGCAGAAGCACTGAGCTAAATGCCCAGACCCAGTCTTAGTTTTTGTTTCCCTTTTTTGTCCTGTATTGACTTTGTCACAACTCGCACAGTGCAAATCATAGCTCCGTTGAAATTACCTGATGTTATTTACCTGCTTCAATGTGGTGGTCCAAAACTCCCACGGGCTACTTCTGCCTTCTGCCAGCTCTGTTATTTTTGAGTTATTATTGTACATTGCAATGGAGTACCACGATGTTTTGGTAACATGATCTTTAACTTAAACACAGCCATTTTTCAAACATTTATCTTTTATATGGTGAAACCATTCAAAGTCATTTTGTCTCACTTTTGAGAAACACAGTACAGAGTTACTGTCTATACACAGACATTTGTATCACAGACTTTTACCATGGTAGTAAGAAGCTGACTGCTGGGTGTTTTCACTTTCTTGGCTACTATTGCCCTTTTCATCAGGCCTGTTCATCCTAATTCTATAAGCACTGAAAACTTTCAATGTGTACTTGATTTTTTTTTTTCTTTGCAGATGTGAGTCCTTGGAACTTGGGGGTTATTTAAAACATGTTGTCTGTGTTCAAATAGCCTCTATTGGTTTCCTTCACAATAAAATTTTAAAATACTGTTCCTGTTTGTGATGGAATATTTTCCTCATGTTGCTATACTGATTAACTTTTCTAAGTTTCATTTAGTTTAAATAATTCCCATCAGTACCAAGAAGGAAGAGTTAGGTCAATTCATTCTGTCATTTTTCTCCAGAAGTTGAACATACAGGGTGTGTTAATTTATTTGGTATAAATAATAATGGCAGTTACCACTTATCAATATATTCTTATCATCATTAAATAGTGAATGCCAAAAAAATCATAGTTAATAAATATGACACAGCTCATTTTCTGGGTCAGTATTTAGTATGCAGCATGCTGTGTGTTAGGCCCAAGTCTTTTGTTTTATTTTTTATTATTTTGGTTTTTTTGAGACAGGGTCTTACTATGTAGTTGAAACACCTGGAACTCACTATGTAGCCCAGGCTGGTCTCAAACTCACAGTGATCCTCCTGCCTCAGCCTCCTGAGTGCTGGGATTACAGGCGTGGGCTACCACACCCGGTTTAGGACACAGTCTTTTGAATGGACATCAGTCCCACACACTTTTTATATACTTGTTATCTTCTCCACTTCTGCTAGGATTTATAGGTGTTTATAAAATTCCTGGTTCTATCCAGTATTCACCTGACCAAACACAAAGTTTGATCTTCTCCCTTATTGCAGCTGAGATGATCAAACACGTGAAAGAGGACCGAGGCAGAAACCACACAGAAGTGACAGAATTCATCCTCTTAGGACTTTCCGACAACCCGGATCTCCAAGCCGTCCTCTTTGCACTGTTTCTGTCCATCTACGCTGCAACCATGGTGGGCAACTTGGGGATGGTTGTGCTGATTAAGCTGGATCCCTGCCTCCACACGCCCATGTACTTCTTCCTCAGCAGCCTCTCCTTTGTGGACGCCTCCTACTCTTCCTCTGTCACCCCCAAGATGCTGGTGAACCTCATGGCTGAGAGTAAGGCCATTTCTTTTAGTGGATGTGCTGCGCAGTTCTACTTCTTTGGCTCCTTCCTGGGAACGGAGTGCTTCCTGTTGGCGATGATGGCCTATGACCGCTATGCTGCCATTTGGAGCCCTCTGCTGTACCCAGTAACCATGTCTGAGAGAATCTGTTTCATGTTAGTAGCTACGTCCTTCTTAGCAGGGTTTGGAAACGCAGCTGTGCACACAGGAATGACTTTCAGGTTGTCCTTCTGCAGTTCGAATAGGGTCAACCATTTCTACTGTGACACCCCACCACTGCTCAAACTCTCCTGCTCTGACACCCACATCAATGGCATTGTGATCATGGCTTTCTCCAGTTTTACTGTCATCAGCTGTGTCATGATTGTCCTTATTTCCTATCTGTGTATCCTCATTGCAATATTGAGAATGCCTTCAACAGAGGGAAGGCACAAAGCCTTCTCCACCTGTGCCTCTCACCTCACTGCTGTCACCATTTTCTTTGGGACAATTCTGTTCATGTACTTGCGACCTACATCCAGCTACTCCATGGAGCAGGACAAGGTTGTGTCTGTGTTTTATACAGTAGTGATCCCCATGCTAAATCCTTTCATCTACAGTTTGAAAAATAAGGATGTGAAGGAGGCCCTGAAGAAGGTCTTAAAGAAATACCTGTTCTAACATCAATTTACCCAACTTCTTCTTATGTAGTTGATATATTTCATATTTATTTTTGAGGGCTAAAATGCTTTCTATATTTTATGTTGTGAAAAAAATGAGATACGTTTCTTAATCTCCTAAATCCTACACATGTTTAATAGACACTTCTGATGAGTTAAAAACAGTGGGATGAATTAGGTATGTGGTACGAGTATTGACACACTTGGGCTTCACTGACTTAGGTTCAAATTTGAAGTTCAGTGTCTAGCTTACCACGGTCTGTACTTACCATGCCTTGATTGGTATCATTGGTTAGCCTCAAGGTAAGGAGGCTTGAAAGCACAGTTTTTATTGAAAGTTTATCAGAGAGTGTTCTTATGAGCAACACCTGGATGTTTAGTGAGGCCAGGTGGAGTGGATTAGGTTGAACTATGAGGAGTTGTCGAGCAGGACTGGTCCAGTCTCAGATGCAGCTCTGGAGCTGACACGCCACTCAGAGGTGTTTTCAACTTGTTACCCCACAGTCGTCAGTGTGAAGTGTGGGTTCTTCAGTAGCTGGACCACCCCGGGCATCTAAAGTCCTTTCTGCGGGGTGAGGAAATCAGCTGTGATTCATCAGCTACCAAAATTTTGAGAAAGAAAGCACTGCTGGGAGGTGGACTACAGAATATACTACAAATAATAACACTTCCACTCATATAGTTCTAAATAATACCAAATGTTCTAGTAATAGGAGAACTACAGCAGTGGTTGGAAAAGATGCTCATGACTTCCTGACTTTATGTATCAATTGCAATAATTTGAAGGTGATAATCACTGTGCTTTGTGCTTTTTGTCTACTGCTTTCAAAGTTCTATGTAGGTATACATCAGCCTACTGTAGTGGAGTGGGTGTGCATCATGGCTGGAACAACTGGCACAGCCTTCTTCTATGTGATTGCCTGTTAAAGAAACTCTAAGCCATGATTTGGAATTAGGTCGGTGTCTATTCCTGTTTCTTTCCAGTCCACCATCCACAGCAGATGATGAAGCAGAACGTCTGCATTCTGTGTGCTGTGAGAGAACCATTTTGTCCCTTAATCAGAGACCACAAGGGTGGTATCCACTTGTTTTCAGCACCATAGAGTGCTTTTGTTTATCAATGACTTACACTGTTCTCAGCTAACTGTGACCACTGGTTCTCCTCCTCCTTCACTTTTCTTCTTAATCTTGTTCATGTTCTACAGTGTAACGCCTACCCTTAACTTCTTAAGCATCAGTTTGGTTGAGAGATTTTCACTGTTCTTCACCCATTCGTATTTCCAGCATCACTCACTATCAAGCTGAGATTCCACGGCCCATCACAGAGTGACTCATTTTCAACTGCTTAACTCTACGGTGTCGTGTTCAGCACAGTGATGAGGATGAAGTGATGTAGTTTGATTAAACTTAATTTTTCTCTGCATCTTCTAATGGAGCTTCTTGGCACCATTACAGAAAACCACTCCACTCTCCTTTGCTGATCTTAACTCATGGCAAGGGACGTAAGAAACTTCCTGGCCCAATGTGGGCCCCAGCCCCTGCATCTGGAGGCCAAGATTGGCCCCACAACAGGGCTCATCCTACTGCAGACTTGGGGGCTCACCCAGCACAGCTTTGAGCTCTGACGTGAACACTATCCCAGAGCCTTGGACACCAGAGGGATTTTATTGCTTGTTTTGTTGTTGTTTTATTTCATTTTCCTTTTCTTTTTTTTTTTTTTTTTTTTTTTTTGCCTTTTTTTTTTTTTTGTTTTTTTTTTTTTTTTTTTTTTTTAAAAAAAATTTTTTTTTTTTTTTTTTTTTAGTTATTTAGCCTTTTATTTGTATTGGTTTTTTCTCTTTTGTTTGTCTTATTTCTCTATTTCCTCAACTTTCTTGTTTGTTTAAAACACTTTAATTATTAACAAATTATCTCACAGTTGGTATAATTTTGAATAATTTATTCCTATTTTACAATATGTATTATACATTTTGGTCCTTATTTACATTTTCAGTTTCTCACACCAGAGAGACAATGCAATGTTTACATGTATGTTTAATTTATTTCACTTGAGAGTATGGTTTTGAGGTGCATCCATTTACCTAAAAATGTCTCAAGTTTGTCCTTCTTTATGGCTGAATAGCACTCCATTATCTAATAAAACCACATCTTTATCCACTCATCAGTTGATGGGCATTTGGGCTGTTGCCAATATTTAGCTATTACAAACTGTGTCACAATAAGCATGGGTGTGCATATATTGCTGTAGTAATCTGCTTTTAATTATTTCAGGAAGATACCAAGAAGCGGAATAGCTGGGTCAAACAGAACCTCTAATTTTATTTTTTGAGAACTCTCCACACTGGTTGTGCAAGTCTACACTCCCACCAATGGTGGTGAAGGCTTCCTGTTTTCCTACATCCCTGCCAACATTTGTTATTGGTTGATTTCTTAATAGCTATTCTTTATGGAGTGAGATGAAATCTTAGCATCATTTCAATTTGCATCTCTTGAATGACCAGTAATGTTGAATGTTTTTTTCGTGTATTATTTGCCTTTTGTATGTCTTCATCTGAGAGTTGTGTATTCATCTCAGATTCCCATTTTTGGATTGGGTCTTTAAATTTAGGGGTTCTGATTTTTTCCAATTCTTTATATGTTCTAGACATTAGTCCTTTGTCTAAGGAACCACTGGGTGAAAATTTTTTCCCACTCTGTGTGTGTGGTCTTTTTACTCTGTTGGTGATTTTTTTTTGCTGTGCAAATGGTTTTTAGTAAGATGAGGTCTCATTGTTTGATTCTTTGTAGCATTTCTCAAACAGTTCCAGGCACCTTATCATTCACTGACAAAGGGGCCAAACATGTTCACTGGAAGAAAGACAGCCTCTTCAATAACTGGTGCTGTAAAAAATGGCTTTCCACATGCTGAAGACTAAAACTACACCTTGTGCTAAGCTAAAATCAAAATCAATCAAAGATCTAAATATTAAAGCAGAAACAGTAAATGTGCCGGAAGAGAGTAGGTAGACTCTTGAAGACATGGGAAATAGTGCAAAGAATCCACAACTGGTATCTCCACCTTATTCAACTGCCATCTATCTATTTATCTTTCTATCTGTCTATATCTATATATCTATAGAGATATGTATTTCCTAGTTAAAGTGATGGAAATATAGATTTCCTCCTGAAGCCTGAATTGCTATTTACTTTCTCACTAGAAGTTCAATAACAAGGAAAGCAGCTTTATACAGGAAATCATGATTCACAGACAGAATTAGAAGCAGAAGTAAACACGGAGAGACCTGCAGAATGGTAGCACAGACACACGCACTCATGTGCACAGTGTTGCACAGTAATCTGTGCAGACAGAGGTCAGTGCAAAGGCTTAGTGATTCCTCATACGTTAGCCTGAAATCAGAGCCAGTGTCGCCCAAAATATACCTGGACCACCCTAGGTAGGGAGGAGTTGGATTCACACTGTTGAACACTCATAAGTAGGTGACAACAATTTCTTTTCAAATTTTAGGCAAATAATTGATAGTGTTTAAAAGGGGAATTTGAAGAAAAATATAGTTTCAGTGTCAGAAAATGCTGCAGAAAATTTAACCCCTGGGGAAACTGAAATATTTAAATTGTATGGAGGGAGTACTCAGTGAGGCAGCAGGTATTAAAACAACTGTCTCATAGGTGCACTTCATAGTAGAAATTACTTTATCATTAGGGAAAAATTATAAATATAATCTACTTACTTTGAACCTCTGTGTATTACATTAATGAAAGAAGATGAGTTGGAAGTCTTCTTATTCAAATAAGTGAGGTAAAACATAAACCTGCAGGTAATTATTTATATTAAGACCATACAGCAGTCTTGTACATTAGCCAAGCCATATTCAGAATTTTGAAATAAAATCATTTCCCAATATCAGTATAGTAGTTTATAAAAACAATTAGTCTCAAAGGCATTAATTTCAAGAAGAAATGAAAAACACGGCTACTGAGAATGCATGATGATAAATAAGTCAAGTTTGTACATTTTACAGCCCCTGTGAAGACGCACTGTGTTATCAAACAGACTGCGGTGACAAATGAACACACACTAGACTGCAATTCTCTGAAACAAACTTCCTCTGACCAAGTGCTGCATGGCCCGGATCACATCCTTGTTCCTTAGGCTGTAGATCAACGGGTTCAGCATTGGGCTCAAGAAAGCATAAAACACTGCAATCACTTTGGACTCTGCCACAGACTTCTCTGACGGAGGTCTTAAGTACATGCAGAACAGGGTCCCATAAAATATGGTGACCGTGGTCAGGTGGGAACCACAGGTAGAGAAGGCTTTGCGCCTGCCTTCTGCAGAACGCATCCTCAGGATGGCTGCAAAAATGAAAACGTAGGACAGAAGAATGATGGAGAGAGAGCTGCACAGAGTGAAGCCTGCAACAAGGAGCATGGCCACCTGTTTGACTCGGGTGTCAGAGCAGGCCAGCACCAGGAGGGGCGGGTCCGCACAGTAGAAGTGATTGATTTCCAGGGAGCCGCAGAAGGACAGGCGGAAAGTCAGCAGGGCCTGGGAGAGGCCATTGAGGAAGCCAAACAGATACGGGAAGGAGACCAGGGAGATGCAGGCGGCCCTGGACATTCTGCTGCTGTAGTGCAGAGGGCTGCAGATGGCCACGTAGCGGTCCAGGGCCATGGCCGCCAGCAGGAAGAACTCGGTGATGACCAGGGCGATGAAGAGGAGGCACTGTATGAAGCAGCCCACCAGGGAGATACTCTTCTGCCCGGAGAGGAAGCCGTGCAGCATGTTTGGAGTGATGTTGGAAGAGTAGCAAATGTCCACGAAGGAGAGGTGGCCGAGGAAGAAGTACATGGGGGTCTGGAGGTGGGCGCTGGTCCTGATAAGCAGGATCATGCACAGATTCCCTGCCAGCGTGAGCAGGTAGACCAGCAGGAACAGCGCGGACAGGATCTTCTCCATCATGGGGTCGTCTGTGAGGCCCAGGAGGACGAAGTGCAGCGCTCGGGAGTGGTTCTGGGAGGGCATTTTCCCAGCCCTTGGAGACTGAGAGTCACAGAGGCTATGCCAAGTTCTTCGTCTCTCAATTCTGCATTTATCTCATTTGATCTCCTGTTCACTAACTTGTCTGTGAAACACTTTTCTCAACAGAGGCATTGGTCTTTCTCATTTTTTAAAATCCATTTTATTGGTACATTTGAGATGCAGATAATGATGATTCCTCTCAGGGAATCTGAACCTTCACATGTTCTTTTTCTTCAGCCTTGTCTTTATCTCAAACACAGGCACACATATGCTTTTTCTCCCAAATGTATGTATGCATAATATAAATATATAGTTCATTTGCTTGTACACTCTCCCATTTACATCTGGTGTCTGCAGCACTCTGTGTATTTGCTGTTTTCCCCAAACTTCGTGGAAAAAAATGCAAAAGTTAAGAAAATAAGACATGCATGCCAGCAAGTCATTTGCATCATTAATATAGATAAATCACAAGTTTATTTTTCCCTGGTTCTTTCTGCTGATACCCTAATGTGCTAGGTGCAGAATAAAAGATAAACCTCTGATGACAGACTCCACTAAAGGCCAAAAGTTATCTCTATTCACTGCTTTTGCAGCAAACCACAGTTCTGAAATTTATCTTTCAGTACATAACTAAAAGTATATCAAATCAAGAATTGTTCTCTCTGCTTTGGAGCTCTCTATCCACATGCAGTATGTATTCACATACCTCTCACAGAGTGAAATAGTTCTGCTGTAGCACATCAAGAGGCAGCAGTAAATAAATCCTGCATTTTCACCCAGCTTACTTTGCAGCACAGAAGGAGCAGATATGAAGCCCACAGGCTAAGCTGCACTTAGAAATTCAGATAAAAGCAAGCACTGTGGAGTTAAACAAAGACAGAATGTTTTAGCTGGCCAGAAATCCTTCTCAGGATGGAAGCATTTGAATAGTTTATAAGAAAATCACAAACCTGTGATGGTTTAATTCCCATTTTTTGGTGTCATTAACCCATTAATGGAATATTTGTTTTAGAAAACATGGATATGTAAATGTGGCATCTGTACCAACCTGATTTACTCTCCCAGATTTTTAAAGGAAGTTTCATATGACTGTAAAGTTCTGGACAATTATTTGATTCTCTTTTATTTGTATTTGTTCATATAATAATAGGTTTTTGGAGGATCAAAAAATTCATCACTTGACTAGAAAGGAACACTAAATAAAAATATTTTCCCACATTATTAAGATACTAATCTGCATAAACCCGATTCATTTTTACTTAACAAATACAGATTGCAACCTACCTGTAAATATTGTCTTACCATATTTAGTATAGAGAAAGTGGGGAAATTTATACTGTATTTTTTACACAGTCCCTTGATGATTTTAAAAATAATTCTAAATAACTAATTAAAATATTCTTTCTTCCTCAAGAGAGTAACCTTAATTTGATGCTTAGAGAAGCCGAGCTCTCCTTTGAGTCTACACTATCCAACTAACTTTTGTGTAAACAGGTTGGTACATGTGGGCATGAGTTCCAGGACAGACAAGGGTGGGAAACATCACTTTCACTAATGTGGACTAAGGAAAATATGGGCAGATAAGTTCTGTATTTTCATTATAAACATAATTTAGTTTGTCCTATCGGTTATGTGAAAATAATCTGGCTTTAGTTCACACGAGACACCCACACTACACCGTGAGTTGAGGCCACCAGCCCGCGCCTGTGTCCGGATGTACGCTGGAGGGAGTGGTTAACGTTTTGCCCTTGTTGAGGTTTGTGTCTAGACTTCCCCAAAAGCCTCATACAGTCTTAGACGGGGCCTGTTCAGAGGTGTATCTGTCTGGAATGTGATGCTAAGATTAAGGGTGCTAACCCTAACCCTGATTAGTTTAGCACCGCCCTAATCCCGGAAGCCCTTAATAGAGTACAAATGGGCAGGAAGACACTGTGAAGGTCCTTGTTGCTTTTGGTGTTTCTACCACGAGGAACGGGAGCTCCTCTGCCATGGGCCTCTCTGCCTTGGAGCCAGCTGATTATGGACTGAAAGCTCTACAAATTGTGAGCTAATTAAATCTTTTCTCCTCTGACTTTGGGCGTAGGGTACTCTGTCTCAGTAATGAGAGGAAAGTATCTAGCGCAGCCATCATAGGCAGACTTCTGGGGTGGAGTGGGACGGGGCTGCAGCAGACCCGGCTTAATTTCCCAGAGCAACTTTAGTGCTACACAGGGTGCTCTTCTGTGGTTCTCAGGGTAGTGGGCTGTAGCCTGCTTAGCTCGTGTGCTCAGGATAGGACCATATCGCTTTGTCGCCTCCTGGGGGCGGTGCTTCCTTTCCTGTTGGAAGCAAGTTTCTGGGTGGGGTGTGTGAGTCCCTCAGACTTCGCTGTGTTGGATCTGCAGTGCTGTCCCCTCCGAGCTGCTGTGTCTCCGTAGGCGATTTGTTTCCGCGAATCTGCATTGGCGTTTGTCTGAGAAAGCAGCGGCTCTGAGGTTTCTTTGACGGGCTGACTATTGCTGTCTTTCTGCTCTTATTTTCCTTCTCATGAGTGTTTCTCTGGTACTGTTACTCTTCTTAAAGGCACTGAGAGTGCGTCATATGAGAAAGTTTTTGATTTTGTATTTAGTTGCCATAGCTCTCTTATTCTAGTAGTGGGGGAAAGGGTAGCAAGTCCAGGTTATTTTTTTACACTAATCTGATAAGAATCCTATCAAACATGGGAGACACGGTGAATACTTCAAAGGACTTACCACTAGGATGCCTTTTAGCTAATTTAAGAAGGATATTTTATAGGAAAAAAAGCTGATATCCTGTATCTGGCTGTCCTCGGTATAAATAGGAAAAAACAAGAATTCTTGCTAAAGAATGAGTCCATAAATTATAACACCCTTTTTCAGCTAAATCTGCTCTGTGAAAGGGAAAGGAAATCAGAAGATATGCCTCCTATTCTGGTCTCAGAACTGACACAGACAGAACCCTGCCTCCCACAGCGGCCTCACCCACTAGGCCCACATCTCCCTCCCAGCGCTGTGGGCACCGCACTTCCTCCCAACTTAGGTGCTGGCTCCTCGCCCTGTTAGCACCTCTCCTTCTGCATCCAAGGCAGAGTCTCCTATGCCTCTGCCTTCACCACGGCCTGCCCCATCGGTCCTCACAGATGGTAGTGAGACCGGGAAACAAGCAAGCGCTCCGCTGTACCTAGGAAAATCTGTTCCCGTGACAGAGAGTGTGGGGCTGTGTGGGCGAGTTAGCACCGAGCAGGTTTCCTCCCCTGAGATAGGCACAGCTCAGGGAGGTTTTTCTGAGAATATTGACAAATTCAGGGAAGAATCTATTAAACTGAGCTTGACTTTTCATTCTACCTAGAGTGCCTGCCACGGGACCCTATATTTTTGTCTGTCCAGGCTGACGTTTCTTTTCGAGGGGGAGTGGTTTTGCCAGAGGGGTGTGGTCAGAGTGCGTGGCCACCAGCGTGGTTTGGCCAATGGCAAACACGCTCTCCCTGTTCGCTTCCCTCCCCCTCCCTGCTCCCTTAATGCACACGTGCCAGGCCACTAGAAGAGGGGGTGCTGCGAGGCTCCCACCACCCCAGACACTGAAGAGACAATGCCCAGACTTGGCAAAGATCAGCGAAGATTCTGGCCCATTATTAACACCTCAAACCTCCTGAAATACCAGTGAGCTGTGCGGAGCACCGCTAGCCCTGCTGAAGAGTCCAGTTTCAGGCCCTCCATTTTCTATGGAGAGGCACCAGGAATCAAGCAAATAGCTGTTTACCACCATGACAACTGCCCTATCCTGTATGCTCTGCATCCACTCAATCCAATAGCAGGCTTGCACTTGGACCAATCAGAAGGTCTGAACTGGGGCCAATCGCAAGCCTTGCTTTGACCAATCGCATCATTCTTGCCACTTCCTGAAGCAGTTCCGAAGCCCTCCTGCCTAAGCGTCTTCAGTTGTGCTGTTTGACCTGTCTCATTGTCCTAAATTGAATCAAAACTTTTACCTTTCACAGTCATGTTGACCTTGTGGAAGAGCCAGAAGTAGCATAGTGCAAGATTCAGCGAGTGAGGTTGATGAAGACTCACTGTGACGCTTTTATTTGACAGAAATTGCCATAAAGGTTTTGAATTGAATCAGGCCATCAAGGCAGGCATGAGAAGACAGCCGTGAAAGAAGATTCCCTTAGCACCGTCAGAAAAGTGACAAGAACAAGGGATAAGTGCCCTGGAGGATAAGGGGAATATTTGGAGGAGAGTTAATGCCAATGTGTCATCTGTTTAAACATTCACTGCCTTTGTCTATCACACCTCATGTGCACGATGCACATTTAAACACTTCAGGCTTTAATAGTTCTTTCTAAAACAAGACAACTTTGTCTGCGGTGCAATCATCCTGAATTTGTAGAAAGTTGAGAGCATTTTTTAAAAACCTATTAAAGTGAGTAAACTACTCCATAGACTACGAAGAGAGAGAAAAACAAATCCAGGGGGCACTGAGACAGTGTCCTAACCCCGGGTTTAGGTTAAATTGGATTACCTCTCAGTCCCTTTATATAAAAATTTCTATGCAATCATTATGGATTAAAATCACATTGAATTTATACAAAATGAAAGATACAATTCATCAAATGTTTTCTCTATTTTGAAGTATTTAGTTTCACATAAACCAGCACTACTTGCCTTAAAAAATATAAAACAACTGAAAAATCATGAAACCGTACATAAGATGACTTTCAATTTAGGACATTAATTTTAAAATTAAAGTTACTGAGTACTTTGAACTCCAGATACTAAAAACAACATTTCATCTTCAGTCCTCCTGCTCCCTCAATGGAGTTCTTAATTCTCAAACGTTTACTTGCATGTGGGAAATGCTCTATTACTTAGTCTTTTACTCTTTAGAGTTTTTGGTTTTCAGCATGTAGTTTTTGTACTTTGTTATCTTTTTCTAAGTAGTTTATGAATTTAAGATTTTGTAAGTGATATTTTAAAACTTTTTCCAATTGCTTTTATACAATT